CAGCATCATTCTTCAAAGACTTCAAAGAAATGATTACCAACTTCATATGGAGAGATAATAAACCTAGGATAGGCAAAGAACTTCTCAAAAAATGAACAAAGTAGGTGGTCTTCCTCTACCTCAAAACCTACTATAGAGCCACAGTAGTCAAAACAGCCTGGTACTGATATAATGATAGATACTAAGACCAATGGATCAGGACAGAAAATCCAGAAATAAAGACATCTGCATGTAGACAATTGATTTTTGACAAAGGTTAAAGAAAAAAACCCATGAAATTGGAAGCAGATGCCCCCTTCAATAAGTGGTATAGAAAATGAAACAAAACCCATATCTCATTCCATGCACAAAACCAAACCTACGGTGGATAAAGGCCTAAATGTAAAACCCAAAGCTATCAAGATAATCAATGAGAAAACTGGGACAAAGCTAGAATCCTAGTTCAGGGAATACACAGGCTGTCAGAATTAACAAAAAAGCACAATCTGAGGAAAATAAAATAAATGAATGGGACCTATTAAAATATCCAATAAAACACTTGTGTACATCAAAAGAGTTTATTAAATGAGTAAAAGAAGAGCCCATAGACTAGGAAAAGATATTTAGCAATGATGCAACAAAGGACTATTTACTAAAATCTACAGAATTTTGCAAGCTTACAAGAAAAAATTCAACAGCCCTCTTAAAAGACCTGAACAGACGATTCACAAAGCATGGCACTCTAATAGCAAATAAACGCATAAGGAAATGCCTCCCTGTCATTAGCCATGAAGGGAATGCAAATCAAAACAATAATGAGATACTGCCTAACACCCATTACTGCAGCCCAATTTTTAAAAACTGAGAATAAAAAATATTGGAGGAACACATCCACTGCTGGTGGACTTGTGAATATGTGCAGTCCCTATGTTCATTGCAGCACAGTTCACAATAGCAAAAAGCTGGAAACAGCCTAAATTCCCATCAATAGAAGATTGGATTAAAAAAACTCTGGTACATACACAATGAAATGCTACACATCTCTTAAAAACAGTGATGAAACCATGAAACACCTCAAAACATGGAGGGATCTGGAAGACATTGTGCTGAGTGAAGTTAGTCAAGCACAAAAGACAAATACTGTCTGAGTCCCCTGTGGTAAGAACAAGCAGCAGAATGGGCACATGCTCAAGCTTGCAGGTCATCCAGTCTCTGGATAGGATCAGACAGCCTGGTATAAAAACCGGACTAGTGCCATGAATCAACAGATCATCTGCTTAAGCTAAGGATAGTGTAGGTCACTTGGCTGGGGGGCAACTCAGGAGAGGTGGGGTCAAATGGTTGGGGAAGAGGGGTAGATGCTGTCTGCTGAGTGGTAGCCACTCAGGTGAGGTCCCAAAGAGAGGAAGGTGGACCTACCAGAAGGATGAGGCTTTCTGATGGAAGGGGCAGTGAAGGAGAGGGGAGAGGGAAAGGTCAAGTTTGGGTGAACAAAGATGAATGTATGTTGGGGGGTGGTTTGTCCCCTAGGTAGGGGGAGGAGAGACTCAGAATGCTCTTGGGATCATTCGATAGGGAAGGCCTTTGGTGGTGTACAGCAGGTGGGTAGAACTGACCTAGAGAATTGAACCTATAGGGAAAGAAAACATAATATGCATTTGGGGAGAAGGGGAGCTATATAGAGGTGGGGGAGATACGGAAGAAATGATGTCAAGAAGTCCAGGAAGGAAAAGTATGCCTGGAGATTAATTATGGAAGAAATTGTACAATTATGTTTGACATGATTGAACTATGGAATGATATGACATATGTATTAATTTCCAACATATAGCAAAAAAAAGTATAGCTCCAGAAATGAGTTCTGGGCTCACACTGAATCCTAGCTCCAACTTAAGAACATTTAGTTCGTCCATTATGGCCCTTGCTCAGCACTGACTTCATGAAATGATCACTATAGCAAAGTGTGGTGAAGAAAGTAGATGGTGCCCAGCTATCAATTGAAATAGTGTCTGGGTTCTTAAAAGTTTGTATTCAAACAAGCAGCCATCTAAGCAAGGAGTTGACTAAGGCCATACAGAAGAACCATACCAGCTTGAGTGATCCAAAGATGACAAGTCCAAAATTCAAATATAGTGAAGAAAAAAAATCATAGCTAAAATTATGAACGCCCAATTTGGAGAAGGCTATGGAGGACAGTGGGAAGCCAAAATCCACCTGCAGAGTATCTAGTTAGTCTGAGACTTGGCAGATCCATTCCAGCCATAGGCAAGAGTCTCCAACAGCCTTACTATCAGGCAGAGACCATTGTAATCTTGATTATGCTGGATCAAACTTGATACTTTGCCAGTTGACCTCTCTATAGGGTCGACCTGAACTTGTTCTGGGTACAAAAAAATATTGAATGACGCATGAAGCATCAAAGAAGGTGGAAAGAATTTGTTCCATGACAGAAATTTCGTCCTTGGCTTTTTGAATGTTGGGGGGGTGTTTTCCTATGTATGCATTATTTGTACTTTTTTCTTTATACTCTTGTGATTTTATCCTTACCAGTTTAGGGCAATTTTGGTTTTTGTATTCTGTTGTTTTTCCCAGCTGTGAAGTTCAGGAGGAGTGGATACATAATGATACTAACTGTAGAGATTGGAGACCCAAAGCCCATCTGTAGGTAACTGGACAGATATCCTCTTACAAAAGGGTCTCGGGGAGCATACGAGCCAATCAGGGTGCAGTATAGCAACGATGAAACATACAACTTTCCTCTAGTTCTTAAATGTTCCCCATGCCCCCACTATTATGATCCCACTTCTACCTTAAAAAACCAGCTAGCCCAGAGGATGTACACAGGTACAGGTAGGAAATGGAAATACAGGGAATCCAGGACAGATGATCCCTTCAGGACCAGTGGTGAGAGTGGTGATATCAGGAGGATGGAGGGAAGGTGGAGTAGAAAGGGGGAACCAATTACAAGAATCTACATATAGCCTCCTCCCTGAGTGATGGACAACAGAAAAGTGGGTGAAGTGAGATGTCGGACAGTGTAAGATTTGACAAAATAATAATAATTTATAAATTATCAATGGTTCCGGAGCAGGGAGGGAGGGGGAAAATGAGGAGCTGATACCAAGGGCTCAAGCAAAAAGCAAATGTTTTGAGAATGATGAGGCAACAAATGTACAAATGTGCTTGACACAATGGATGGATGTATACATTGTGATAAGAATTGTACGAGACCTCAATAAAATGATTTTAAAAACAAAACAAAAAAGGTGTTATAGGGGACACAGGGAAGGGTGAGAGGGAGGAAATGGGGATTTCGCGAGTAAATAATGAAGGCAGGAGGTGGGGAGGAGTACTAGAACTGATTGTGATTGAACAACTCATCTTGAAGGTGATTTAACCAGAGGGGTGAGGAAATGCTCTAAAATTGATGTGACCAATTCTCCTTCACACAATTTTAAAAAAATTATGCACCAATCATAAAAGCTAGTGATAGATACATTGAAGTAATCTCCAAATTTCCAGTCTGAATTTCATGTCTGAAACCGATCAACCATGCAATCAAGATGCACTTATAATTATTGGCCATTGGATTGCAAAAATTGGAAACAAAAAGGAAGTAAGAGTTGTTGGAAAATATAGTTTTTTTGTGATAGAAATTAAGCTGGAGATCACATGATAGAAGTTTTCAAGACCAAAAACGTGTTTTTAGCAAATACCTTTTCCCAGCAATACAATAGGTGCCTATACACATGGACTTCTCCAAATGGAATTCACAGAAATCAAATTGATGATGTCTGCGGGAAGAGATGGTGCACAAATTCAATAATAGCAGTTAAAACCAGACCAGGGATTGACTGTGGAATAGACCATCAAATGCTCACATGTTAAGTTCAGTCGAAGCTGAAGAAAATTAAAACAAGTCCACGAAAGCCAAAATACAACCTGGAATCTATTCCACTTGTATTTTGAGACCATCTCAAAAATAGATTTGCTACATGGAGCACTAATTAAAGAAGACCTGATTATCTGTGAGAAGACATCAAGAATGTAAATTGAAGCCTTAAGTTACAATGTTGATTCTATGAGAAAATATTGAGTGATGCATGAACCCCAACTAGTTGAAAGAGATCCATGTTTGTACCCATTCAAAGAAAAGTGCCCTAACATAAAGCTCAGATTATAAAACAATATAATTTATATCAAATGTAAGTAAAATTTTGCTGAAGATCCTCCAACATATGCAGCATCATATTGAAAGGGAGCTTCTCAAAGTTCTGGTCAGATTCAGAAGAGGACATAGAACAAGGGATGTCATTGCTGATTTCAGATGGATTTGGGATCAAAACAGAAAATGCCAGAAAGATGTTTGCTTGTGTTTTATTGACTATGCCAAAGAATTCAACTGTATGGATCATAAAAAATTAAGGATAGCCTTGATAAAATCTAAGGAACATTCTTGATGTACTTCCTCCAAGATAGATGGGTTTCATCTTCTGAAAATCCATGTTACTTTCAGTAGTCTTTGCCAATATCATAATTTACATACATCAATTCTTCTCCAGTTTTTCTTATTCGTTGTTCAGCTTTCACATGCATATGAAATGATTAAAAATACTATGGCTTGAGTCAGTCCTATCTTTGTCCTTCAAGTGATATATTTACACTTTAAGCCTTAAAGAGATCTTTTGTAATAGAGTTGACCAATGAAATACATTGATTCCTTGATAGTTGCTTCCAGGGACTGTGTTGTGGATTCAAGTAAAATGAAAACCTTGATAAATTGAAACATATCACCATTTATCATGATGTAGTTTATTGGTTCCGTTGTAGGGAGTTTTCTTTTATTTATACTGAAGGCTATTCACACATATACCTTCTCTTGTCTTGTTATATAAGTCATACAATATTTGTCCTATTGAAATAGACATAACTCACTTAGCATAATGGTTTCAAGATTCCCTATACTAAAGTATATATGAAGAATTTCTTCTTTTCTTTTTCTTTTTTTTAAGGTTCCCCTGAGAGGGTGCGCCATTCCTGGAGAAACTGCAATACCAGGTAGATGCATGGAGTGGATGGAGCAAGCTCCTATTCCATCTCCCTGCTTCAAAAATCCATTCAATATATTTTCCTCAGATAGAGGATGTATCAGATATTAGACTGATAAGAACAGATACTACACTTGATCTTAGCCCAAAGGCCGAGAAGCGGTCTGTTTTTTTAAATTAAGAATATAGCCAGTAAAACATACACCAATTAAACAATTTCTACATGTACAAGTCAGGGATATCAATTACATTCTTTAAATTGTTCACTCATTCTCTAAATGTTCATAAAGAACACAGTATTAAAGGTATACATGCTTTATGAACTAAGTTAAATTTTTGCCTTAGTCTAAAGAAGATTTCAGGGGTTATTTTTGGTTCAAATTCTAAAGATTTTCTTAAGTCAATATTCCCAGGTGTTTATAAATGGGTTGGCTCAGTACAGAGGTATAAGCTGAAAACTACCGGAGTGAGCACTGTAGCTTTATCCATGGTTGATGTTGAAAGCTGTGAGAACACGTCCTTCCAATGTGCATAACTTAGGGATGGCTAATAGGTCATCTACTGTGTGTGGAAAGAAAAGTGGCCTGAGAATATGATGTACATGGAAACTTTGGAAATAGTAAATGGTTTGACTGCTTGGCAGGGATCCTGGAAGAAGAAAGATCTAAAAGTACAGCACAAGGAGATATCTCTGGGGAGTAGCATGTGCTGCAGATGTGTAAATTAACTGTGAATATTTTTAAAATTCCCAATAGAGAGTATCAACTACAGGACCAGAATTAAATAACACTGTAAAGAGAGTGACTTACCAGCTGTTATTACCCCACTTTTGTCATTTGCCACTCTGGTGCTATCAAACAAACAAGACTTATCTAGTTTCTGCCATTGTTGAAAGTCTAACCTACCAGTTACAAAGATCAAAAGTGAGTCCCTAAAGTAGATCAATCAGACCCTTGACAGCTAATTTACCGCACTGGAGACCTGTAACTCTCGAGTGCACACTGATTTACTAGGAGTAACACAAACTCGAGCTATGGTATTGCTTTTCTTCCACACAGAACCTCATCTAACACCACCATCATAGTCTTGCAGAGTATTTGATCTACTAGCACAGGATCTTAAATAATATTGCATAAAACCAAATGACTTATATGGTGGACAAGGATGTCTGATAATTGGCACAAGATTATGTGACCCATTTATTACATTCTGCACTACTCAGATGATTCTGGTTTTTTAATAACCTGTTAAAATATAATTTAAATGGTAGCTTGGATGTGAAACTTGTCAAGAATAGGACAGTTCTCTAAAATAAAGTATTCACTCTAAATCAGCCTCAGAATTGAAATTTTAGGCTGGATAAATCTTTATTGTCAGGGCTGCCCTTTTATTGTTAAATGTTTAATAATATTTACTCAGAACATTTATTGGATTCTTGGTGGTACAGTGGCTAAATGCTCAGCTGCTAACTAAAACTTAAACAGTTCAAATCAGAAGTTTAATGGAAGAACAATGTGACAGCCGATTTCTGTAAAGATTGCTTTTGTTAGGTACCATTGAGCCCATGCAAACCCATCGTGAAACTATGCACAACAGAATGAAATACTGCCCAGTTTCGTGCCAACCTCATCATTATTCCTGTGCTTGGACCCATTGTTACAGCCAATGTATTAATCTATATTATTGATAAACATGATGTCTTTCTTCAGAGACTGATCTCTCCTGATAACATATGCAAAGTATGTAAGATGAAGTCTTGCCATTCTTGCCTCTAAGGAGCACTTTGGCCATACAAATTCCAAGACAGGTTTCTTTGTCCTTTTGGCAGTCAATGGTACTTTTATTGTTCTATAAATATTGCAGCTTTGGAAAGCTTATGGGGAAGTTCTATTCTGTCCCATTGGGTTTCTAAGACTAGGAATATGCAATGTAAATGGGCTTGGCTTTTGAACACACTAAATATCAATAGTACCCGTCAAAAAATGTCTAAAGATATTGCCAAAATGTCTTCTCATGAGGCTGGAGAATTGTACCCAGTTGAGAATCACGACCCTAAATCAACAATTGAAGTAGCATGGCCACAATCGTGAAATAC